CGACTGTCCCCAAGGGCAACCACGTAGCCGTTTTTGAGACAAGGATAACTCTATCACTAACCAAACCAGTGGTAGCAGTTGACATCTGAGTCAGATGACCGCCTGTATTACTTGGGATAAATGCAGGGGGTACCTATTGAGTTAATAGCCAACAAACATTGGCGAATCAAGGGGTCTAGCCAGCCTACGCCGCCTGGTACCTCTACTTCTCAAGCAAAAGTGACGGCGACTGAGTAACTCCAACGTTAACTCATAGTCACTCCCTCAAATTTGGTATGGAACCTAAAAGGTTTGAGTAGACCACCTGTTTTTTGGCTAACAAGGGAACTCAAACCCTTATTCCTACTAGGTAACCTATTGAGTTAATAGCCCACAAACATTGGCAAATCAAGGAGATCAGCCGGCATCCGCCGCCTGGTACCTCTACTTCTCAATCTAGATTGTGACGAAGACTAAGTAACTCCTATGTTAACTTAATATTCACTCAAATTAGTATGGAGCCTAAAAGGTATGAGTCGTCCGCCTGTTTTTAACAAACAGGGGCTCTCAACCACTACTCTTGCTAGGTTAACAAATTATGAGTTAAAAGCCAACAAACATTGGCATTAAAGGGAAACAACCGGTACCCGCCGCTTGTTATCTCTACTACTCAGTTCCTTGGCGACTAGGTAATACTCTATTTACTTGGTAAGACCACTTTCCTACTGATTGGCATTAAAGGATCCAGACAAAATAGTTCGAATACTGATTGGATAAATGGTCGACTGATCGTCTATCCTGGAAACAGACAACCAGTCGTCTAGGGGCATAGGCGGCGTACTAACTATCCGTACCTGTCTGCAACGTTCTGCCATGTAAAACAGTCGGTCTAGTGAACAATTGGATATTAGATATGGAATACTTAGACAAATTTGAAGCAAAACAAAAATTCATTAAAAATAAGCCGGTCATTAAAGACCAGCAAAATATTCAAAGCCCCGGCCCCCTGGCCGGGTAAATACAAAGCAAACGGCACGCAGGCCGTGGAAAGAATACATAAAGCTTAAGAAGGGGGCAGTTCAGTATTAGCAGCTGCCGCCTGGTCAGCACTCTTCTTGCTGGACTCGGCTTCAGCTGCATCCTTTTTTGATGCCTTACTCCCAAGCGGCACAAGCGCCACTACCGGCTCCTCCTCCTCCAACGCTTCCCCCAACGCCTCTTCTTCAGCAGCCGCCAGGATCTCTTGATTATATGAATCCGAACACTGGCGGTACGTTCTTTCCCAAGAGGCAAAGTCGGCACTGGGGAAGAGGCGGCCCCAGGTCATGCGCTGGATTTGAGCGGAGTCTTCCATCATCTCCCGGACCAGCTCTTTCTTCTCTTGCTCAGCCTTTTCCGAGAGCTCTTGGGTAAGACTCTTCTCCTGGGTCACCAGACGTTCCTTTACGCTGGCCAAGGATTTCTCCATGGCTTCGTAAGAGTACATTTTCAGGCGAAGAGGTTTCAGCTCGGCCTTGAGATTTGTTATGGTCGCCTCCAGCTCGTCATTCTTCTTCTGGGCCGCCTCTAACTGAGCCCGAACAGCGGCGGTAGCCTGCGCCAGATAATAAAGAATATCAATGGTCAGTACTTCATTTTGGGCAATTTGAAACATTGCCTTATCACAGTCAGAGGCGGCCATAGCTTTTGCAGCCTTTACCTCTTTGTTCTTCCGATCAAGCGGCTTGCGAAGGCCGTTAACTCGGAGCAGGGCCTAAGTACAAAGAAACAGGCGTCAGTTTCCAAACAAAAAATAAAACAGGCGTCCAGAAACTCAAATACTCAAAAATATGCTAAGTATACCTCAGCAAGGACCCTTGCAATCCCGTCAAGGTCAAGGGTGCCGACACCCCTGACCGCCTCCCTTTCAGCTGGAGGAACTGCCCTGATCATAGACTTGGTCATCTCTACCAAGTCAGGCTCCTGGGGGCCGGCTGCATCAAGCATAAACAAACGGATTAGACTTAGTAACGAAGGGAGCAAGTCTAAAATTTACAAGGACAACTTCATACCTCTAGGCGGCCCAGTTGGAGTTTTAGAAGAAGTGGCCGGCTGTTTCTCAGCCGCCACCTGTTTCCTGGCAGAACCAGGAGAGCTCCCAACAGTCGTCTTCCGGGCCTTGGGGTCCGGCTGTTGGGAAGATGAAGCTCTTGGAGCACCCGTCTAAAAAAGAAGAAAAAAGTCAGTATATGCATAAACACTCCAAAAAGAGGGTGAAAGGTTCGGAGCTCACCAAGGGTGCCCCCTTCTTGGGGGAGTCGGTTGAAGCTTGTTGCATAATAGAGGCCCGCAACATGGCCGCCGCAGTCTTGGAGGCGGTGATTTTGCTCATGGCGTCAGCTGCAAAAACAAACAGCAAAGTTAATAAAAGATAAACAACAAATGTATGGAACAACAGAGTATTCGACAGGCCGACTACCTCTTGAGCACCGACTGCTGAGGCCGCAGGCGGCCAAAAAGTACTCGTCATAGAGCCACTTGAAGCTCGGGACGCAGTGCAGGGATACTTGCTCTCGTACCCTTGAAGTAGAGTCGACCCTCGACTCTACTTTAAAGAGTCCTTTATCAAGGATCTCTTTCTTAGCCTTGGGGGGAACATGCGGCATGCTACGGCCGCCTGCAAGAAGGGGCGGATTCCTGTTCCACCTATTGAAGCGCTTGTTCTGCTCAATGTCTGAACTCTCAATGATGAGGAAGGTGCTCCGCCAGTCCTTCCACTTGTTTGCTTTACCTCTTGTCATGAGGTAGCCCCTGTGGCTTGTCAATTGATACTAGCCGGTACCGCCTGTCTTAGGGGTCCGGATGAGATAGTTCATATGGGCGAAAGCCTCGAAGCTCGGCTCCACCCCGTGCAGTTCGCACCCGGCCACATAGCCGAGTACGTTGACCCAGGAGTTTGGGGCTAACTGCCATAACCCCAACTCATACCCATCCAAAATCCGCTGAACAGCCGGATGTAATGGGAAGCGAAGCCCTGCCTTGATGGCCGCCTCGTAGCAGCCAAAGCAGGCGCTTTCATAACTGGAACCAGCCGGCCAGACGACTGTGTCTTCTGGATCCGGCACAAACACTAGAAAGTCGGGGCCCATGGTGTGGTTTGCAATAAAGCTCTCCACTTTCTCTTGCATGGCTGTGATTCGGCCCCGAGGTACCGTGCAGTAGTAGGGGGTATTTAGCTCTCGGTAAGAGGCGGATGGTTCCGCCCAATTGTCCCCCTTCTCAACTGCGTGAGAAAGTCTCGCCTCTTGCAGGCGGCTGTTTTTCTCTTCTGTACCCAAAGAAGCATGGCCAGAAGAGCTTGACTCGGAATCGTCCTCCGACGAGTCTGAAGAGGACGACTCCTCCCCTCTCCCGGAGGGGCCCGCCTCCTCTCTTTGAAAAGGAGCAGATTTGTTAACTGTTAAATGGGAAGGGGTCACTATGACTCCCCCCACAGAATTGCCGGCATCCAGGCCGCCTTGTTTCACTTCCACATCTGGCGCCTGGTCAGATGTTTCACTAAGCGGCACCCTGTGGGAGGAGCCGTCTGAATTTGAGATCCTAGTTGTCTTTTTCGTTCTGGCCATCTTGCTCTGCATAGACACAGATACAGTCGGACTTTGTATAAAGGGCAAAGATGGGTCCGGAAAAGGGCAGGCGGAACTCCTAGTCCTAGATTCAGCCGTCCCCGGTGACCGGCTGATCACTAACCTAGGTCGTGTCGTGTGCTTCCGTGGTGCCATTTCAGAAAATAAAAAGAAAATTAAGAGTAAGAGAACTGAGTTACCTGAACGAGTGACGGTTGATGAAGTTCTGGAAATCCGGTGCAGTCGGCTTGTCAGAACAAGCGGTAGGCAGAAAAGGTCCGAAATGTCAGAGCAAGTTCAGGGGTCCGAATGTTCTCAAAAAGTTCTCAAAGTGTGAAAATGACTCAAGACAACTCTCCCTTATATAGGCGAAGTGAGAAGGCGAAGGGTCACTTTCAGAATTCAAAATTTGGGCGGGAAAATCTCTCGTCCTTTCGCCGACTGACACCTGTAGCAGGCCGTCGCCTGTTACAGTGCGACACCTGTCACAGGTAACACGTGACCAATCACGTGCCACCTGTGAGGGGCAAATGATTAGGGGATTTTGCTCCCACCAATCGGAATGCGCCACGTGGACCAATCAGGTCCTGCCAAGTGTCCCCCAATGGGAACAGTCAGGGCTTCCCACGTGGCACGCGCTTATTCGTCCACCTTGGACCTGTTATGTCAAGACATGTGGCATACTCCATGCCTAATGGAGAAACCGGCCACCCAGGCCCAACTTCCGAGGGAAGCCCAATCGGCCCTAGGTTTACCTAAACCTAGGATGGGCACGTTTCCCAAGGTTATAAATACCTCCCTTAATCCTCATTAAGGGGGATGACAAAAAGAGAACAGAAACATTACGGAAAAAACATATTAATTACACACAGTAATAACCGGCTGATCTCGCTAACAAAGCAGATTACCTACATTAAACACTCTCACCTAGAGAGACCAAATCACTTTAATTTCCGCATTAATTACTCCTTAATCAATTACTAACTTGACCGTTGGAGGCGGAGCTCCCAGGAGTCTCCGTTATTTTGCAGGTACAGGCGTCCGGTTCCAGTCTCGGAATTGTAACTCTCCCGCAGGACATCAGAAAACCCCGAAACAGCTGTTACATATAAAAATCAATATTTTATTTTTAAAACTATAGATTAAATTTTCAACAGCTACTTGAAAAGCTACCTCTAATTTCAAAAGCTAATATTTCTAACTTTTCACAAAAGCTACCTCAATCACTAAAAGCTACTCTAACCACTATTTTGCCAAACACTCATATTTTTTATTGAGTAGTGGTTTGACCAAGTCAAACCACTTAAAGATACCTAAAAGCTACTCAAAAACTAACGCCGAACACGCCCTTACAGTGTGCTCTTTGACTTTGAGTAAGTTTTAGTATCTCAACTTGGATCTTTTTTCTGATTCCTGTTTCTTTAATTTCAAAACATATCTTTCTCTAAGATTCTCAGGTCTAGTGGTCTACAACTTCACTTCTTACATTCAATTCCAATTTTTTTTTTTTTTTTAAATATTTTTCTTGGAGGGAATTCTTAGCTTATAAAACCATTTTTATTTTCACCAATTCACCCAACGTGCAAAACCTTCAAAATCCTAACTTTCTTAACAAAAAACTAAAATTTTCAAAAAATGCATCAATCCCTTCAACAACCGCCGAAACAATCACCCAACCAAACCACCAACGGTAACTGTTACCGGTGTTCAAAACCAGGTCATTGGGTCAAAGACTGCCCTCAAACGGGTCAAAGCCCATTTAAAAACCGGAGCCCACTTAACAATCGGAGCCCTGTTTTTCATCCAACTTCTACCTTCGATTTTCCATCCACCCACTGCCTCTGCGGTGCCGGGTTGTGCGAAATTCGGGTCTCCCATAGCTCGGCTAATCCGGATCGCAAATACTATTGTTGCCCCGGAAAATTTGTTAGTATTCTAATTTGTATTTTGTTGGTTTGAGATGATATTATGTACTGTACTACAGTATTTTTGTTTGATTAACTAATTATGAAGTAATTATTATAATAATGTAGGAGTATCATTGCGATTATTTTAAATGGTGTGATAGATTAAAAAGAGAAGAGATCCTGGAAGTTCAACCCAAACCGTACCCGACTTGTGGGTGTGGGGCCGGAGTTTGTGCTGTTCTAAAAGAAAATGGGCAAACTTATTTTATCTGCCCTATAAAAAAGGTTAGCAATTTGTGTTCTTTATTGTTCTTTCTAAAAATGTGCAAAGTATAATTATTGTTGATTAGTTTGGATCATCTTGTTTGTTTATAAAGTATGGTTTAAGGTTTCCCTTTTTATTTGAATTGATTGCTATGTTTGGATTTTTTTTGGTTATTATTTATGAGATTGATATAGAAGTCAAGTTGTACCGTTTATTGTCTCTTTGTTAGATGAGGTAGAGGGTGATTGGGCCCAGCCTGCTAGCTCAGCCCAAAAAAAGGCGGGTTTTGGAACATTCTAAAAAGTAAAAACACATCTTTAGTTAAATTAAGATTTTACAGTAGTCGTTTGAAATATGATTATCAAAATGTTTTAATGATTATATATTTTTTTTGGTGTTCTACCCGATTCACGCTGTGGGCGAATCCGGATTCAGGTCAATTCTAGGTGATTAGGTTTCAATCGCTCGAATACAAGTCCTCTTTACCAAGTTTAGTCCTAATCTCCACTACATTAATAGCTAATTGGTATGATTTAATGATTATAACATAATTGTTTCCAATAACTTTATTAATGGTATTAAATAGTATTATCAATATTTTTTTTGATTTATCAAATTTTTGGTGTCATTTATGTAATTTTTATTCTTATTTTATAGTTTCTTAAATAATATTGTTTTATGTAGGATTAAAATTTTCAAAATTTACATTTACATTGTAGATATTATAAGACTAAGGGTGTGCGTTGTTCACCTGATTTTTACTTATCTGAACTTATTAAACTTATTTTAGTTATAATTTGTACTTGGGTAACCCTTATCAGAACTTTTTATACATGATTTGAACTTATCTGAACTTATTACACCTGAAATAAATAAAAATAAGGTGAACAGAACAGACCTTAATTGTAACTATTTTATAATGTGAAAAATATGAACCAATCATATTATATATCATTAAAATAATATAGTAATCATTTTTCAAAACCCGAATCCGGCCAGAAAATCACATTTTAGCCCTATAGCCTATAGGTCCGCTACTTCTTTGCGAATTTGGACGCAAAATATGATGTTAAGGCTTGGCCTAGTCCGAATGTTTGATCTCCTCTAGAATGAGGCAGATTTCCAATGTTTCTCCTTCTATGGTCTATGTGGAAGCTGGGGACCAGAAGAAATTCAATACTCCATTTGTTTGCAATTACCGCCTTGCTAGTGCTACGCCTGATATTCAATCACGTTAATATTGTAATTTGAATTAGTAATGGGACTAATAAAATAATAATAAATTCAAACAAAGGGAGTACGAGAGTATAAGTATTGTGAAATCGAATTTAATTTTTGTTTGAGAATTAAGATTGAGTTGGTATTCTTTTGGTCTTATATGGGTTACTCTTCATACGGAGTATATCAAGTGAACTTAGTTAAGTTGCACATATTTTCTTAGTTTAGCTGATTGTTGAAAAAATTAATCTTTTGCCAAAAGTATGAATAAAGTGTATTGCTTGACCCACCTCATTGTCTCCGTGGTATGACTTGTTTTTCTTTCTATGTTCCATACTTCGTATATATTTATCATCCTTTTATTATTTAAGTTTTGGCGGTTGGGCATCTATCTATCTATATATTATATTAAAAGACAAGCGCCTCAATGTGAGGATGACAAATGTCACTCTCTCATTGGCTTATCTTAAGTATAAAATATATCTATATAATTACTGTTTACATATTCAAACATAGTTATTTTTGTTTAACTTCAAACAATAAAAGCAAGTTTTTATCCATGTATAAGATTTTCATGATTTCCTAACATAAATATTGATTTAATTTTTTTATAATAAATATATACTTTCCAATACTACAAATAATCTATAAAGTCTTTCCAATCTTTATTTATAGTCAATTTAAGAATAATAACTAATTTGAAACAATATGATTATAGTGGTATAATTAAGGAAACAAATATTTCGTATTTTGAAAGGCTAATATTGTTTTTTTATGAAAATTAAATAAAATCGATAGAATTTAGTTTGACGTCAATTATGAAATCAATACAAACATTTAAAAAAAATCAGATGTACAATAAAATATTGTGCACCTATTATAAAAGCTACCCTGTAATGAATGAAAGTTATTTATGCTTTATTGATAAAAGTTACCCAAATTAGTCTACAAGTTATCCTAAATTCAATTCAAGTAATCAGTTGAATACAAAAGTTTTTTGATAAAGATACAAAATAGTGTAAAAATTACTTTTATCGTTTGTTGTACTCCTTGACAAATACTTAATGCTGAGCCGAATTGTTGTCTTGGAAAAAAATACATAATCTTGAACAAAAATTTAATTTTAATCGGCCTTTCATTTTCTATACAATGTCTTTTACAAATGACCTTTTGTTTTTCTTGCAATTAAAAAAAAATGAACCAATAACCAATCTAAACAAGAAGAATAAATGTTAAATTGAATTAGACATTTGACGAAAAAAGGATAGATATAAAATGTATTATAATTATTACTCGTGTTTTAAATTGTAATATTCGTGTTAACAATGCTATTACTTATGAATTTTTTTTAGAAAAACTAACATTTTGATTTAAAAATCGTGCATTGCTCATGTACTATACTAGATATACAACAATCATGTGCAATAATTTATATTGTTTTATACATAATAATACTTTTAACTATAATAATATGTGTATATAATATAATATTTTTTATAATATAAAAAAGTATATGTATATAATATAATATTTTATAACACGTGTCCTCCATATCAAGTGTTTGGTTGTTGGTGTAGTGGTGATTGAGACTACACTTGGAAAGGAGGACCTGTGTTTGCTCCTCTGCAACAACAATCGGAAGGGGAGTGGAACCTAATAGCCTAGAACAGATCCTCAAATCTGGATTAGCCCAAAGGGTGAACCGGATAGAACACCCAAAACTCAATGCATATATGACGGAAATTAACTTATCCTTTATCTATCTTATACAAAACTCCAAAGTCTAAATTTTTTTTCAAAATATAATAATAACATTTGTAAATTTTTGTTAATATGAAAGATATAAACCTATCAAAATGTATGTATAGTTAAATTGTTTAATAACTTATATCGAATGCGTAGTTTTATTAAAATTATTTGCATATAATGTTAAATGTGTTGGATGTTGTGTAGCTATGCAATGTCCAAAACTTTAGTTGAGCGACTTTGATTTAGTGATTGTACGGCAAAAAGATATTGACTTCGATCTTGAAACCTAATAGTCTAATAAATTCTAAATAGAAAAATTAAAACAAAAGGAAATGAAAATAGTAAATGGCTTTAAATATTGAAATAAACATAACCTTTTAAATCAATTTAGCGAATTCAAGAGACAATTTTAAGGCCTTTAAAATTAAATGGGGGAAAATATACGTAAAAAGAACATTTTTAGATATATAAATGTCCATGCACTATTATAAGAGTTTTGTTAACCATTTTATAATTAGGGTAGGGATAAATCTTAGTAATATATACTCCGTATATTTTATTTATATATCAGTATCCATACCTATATACGAAGTATTTGTGTTGTATATTAAATTTAATTTAATCAGCTGTTGGTTATATACATGACTATTATATAATATATAGTTTTTGGCACAATGCTTAACTTAGGAAAATATATGTTCTGGTAGGTCAAATATAAGGTTATTATTGTGTCTATAGATTTAATGAGTGCGGCGGGTAAATAAAACATGTATATATTAGATTGATTGTAGCTACTGATGCGGATGGTATGATAAGAAAATTTTAGTTTTTTTTTTCAATGAGAGATATAAATAAATTAGTTCACTTCTTATATAGCTATGTGGAGTATTATTCAATTATTTTTCAATTAATAAAATAACATTATAAAAAATTAAAAGAAATTCAAATAACATAGAATACTATTCAAATAACATTCCTTTAATTTTTTTTATTGACCATTAGTAACCAAGTCCTTTAATAGTAAATGAATTACCTTTGTTTTTATTTTTATTTTTCCTACGGGTTTAATAATTTGATTTATAAACCGTGCATCGCACGGGCACTATGCTAGTTATTTATTAATTTGACTTTTACAAGTGTTTAATACTTCCTCCGTTCTATTAATATTGCAACAAGGAGGAAATTACGCATCCCGAAACACCTTTTATATGCTAAATATCTATAAATGTGTAAGAGTAAAAATTATAAAAAGTTAATACTGTGAAAGTATTTTATGAGACAAATCCAACAAGATCCCACTTGACTATATTTTGCTTAACGTATAACTCATATTATATGGTCAAATAAGAGTGATGAATAGTGCAAAAAGTCCATTGTTGCAATATTAATAGATTGGAGGAAGTAATTAATAGCATAGATAGGGTCCACTTACAATTTGTGGAAATATTTCTTTTATAATGCCTTTTCTTGCACCATTTTAAAATTTTTTTTTAACTCTATGTTCCAGAATAATTTAACACATTGTAATTTTGCTTCACTATCCTTATAATTTTGTTACTTTGACAAGATAGTTACCTTTTTCTAATGTTGTTAGTGATTATGAATCATTGATTTTATTTATTGCCTAATTTTTTTTTTTAAAATAAAATAAAGATGTGAAGGAAGGGTATTAATTTTCACTCTTACCTCCCTCTTTCCCTTATATTTTTTAGTACTTTTTTTTGTTCTTATTTGAAATGTTTTTGTGAGACATAATTTTCCAAGTGGAAAGCATAAATACAAATTTTAGCAAGTAAAATGTTGTTATATTAATAGGTGTGTTTTATATACACACAATGACACACATGTCATATAAGATCAATTTTATATTTTTTTTTACTAAATACTCATATATTTTTATTTATTGCTAGTGGTTAGAGGGAGTAATACCCATGCTTCCTCCTTTTTCTTGTTTTAGTTAGGGTTGAGAGTGGGGTTGGATTTTTCCTTCTAAAATTATAATTGATAGGCTAAATTTGTACTTATTTAAGTAAGCCATTAGCAAACTGGGCTTAAAACTTTCTTGAGCATCTATTATTTGTGAATAGAACTTAGGTACCCTTTATTTTAACTAATCTGAACTTCTTGGAAATTTACAACTCACTGTAACTTATCAATTGACTTTGATACTCTCATTAGACATAGGTATATGTCTTAGTGTCCAACTCAGTTATCTATGTGAAATGTTCCATGATTTAGGTCTAAAAGTTAAATGTCTGAGTGTTCATGACCATGTCACTGTTGAGGATTAACATAAACGTGAAATGAAGAGTTCAAGCAATATACATTGAAACTTTTTGTTGTCCTGAAACTTGTTTTTATTTTAAGCTGAACAATAATGCACCCTTTTGTATGTGTGTGCGCTCATACTCACCAACATATATTTAAAGTATTAAACAATTCAGTTGGCTTATGACTGCATGAACCTTGCTATTGGAGCTGAAAAGGAAGTTCTGTATCAATTGAGCCGGATTGTCATTTCAAATTGCAATTTCCGGCCACTCTCTAGTAGATCTCTTTAGTGACGCTTTCTCAGCTGTTTTGTTTTTTTCTTCAAATAACTATTAGGAAAAATTAGAAAATAACACCCAAAAATTGTCACAATTTTGATAATAACACCACAAAAAAAAAACTTAGATTATAACACCACCAAAAAACCAGAAATTCTGATTTCAACACCACTTAACTTTTCATCCAAAAAATCGTTAGTGGATCCCACATTGTACACGTGTCAATTGTGCATTGGATTAAAATAAATAAAAAACAAAAAAAAAGAAAATTAAAAAAAAAAAAAGGAAAACCCTTAAAATACCCAGCCACCATTAGCGCCGCCATTCCTACCGTCGTTCTCCAACTCAGCCTCCACCGCCGTCACCCAATCCCAACCGACCACCCTCGACCCATAAAACCAGCCGACCGACCACCCCTTGATTGCCGAAATCAGCCCAAACGTACCCACGAAAGAACCCGAACCCCAATTTGGTTCAAGGTGAGGGTGAGAGGAGTAGGGCGGTTAGTGGGTTTGGGTTAGAGGTGATCATTTGCGGGCTTGGGCGGGTAGCGGGCCGGGTTTATGCTTATTTTTTTGTCCAACGGGCTTCATGTATCAAACCCAAACCCTTTTATGCGGGCTAGATACTTTGTCCGTGTCCGCTTACTAAACGGGCCGAGCTTGCCCACGGGCTAATGGGCCTTAAATTTTTGTTTTATTTTTTATAACACTAATTAATCTATTTATTATTTACATGTGCTAAAATTATTTTGGTAGAGTTGTCTTAAAATTTTTTATTCACAAATAATGATAATAGAAATTAAAAACACAAAATATGTCATAATATAAAATTAAAATAAATAATTGTAACCAATAAAAACTTATAGTTCATTATAGTCTCTCTGTAATGATTATTTTATTTTCTTAAATACACAAAGTATTATTTTTATTATTAAATATAACACTAACTAAATAAATTAATAAAATAGTATTATTATTATTATAAACGGGCCGGGCGGGCTAGCCCACGACACATATTTTCTTGTCCATATCCGCCCATTTACATTAACGGGCCGGGCCTAGCCCGCCCAAATATCCATTTTTTTCAAAAAGGTTGTCCAAGCCCGCCTTTTTTGCGGGCCTGGTTGGGCGGGCTTAGCGGGCCGTCCCGCCCATGAACAACTCTAGTTTGGGTATGGGTGGGTCGGGGTTTCGGCAGTTTGGCGACGACTTTTGGTTGGGTTTGGTAGAGGAGTACGGTGGCTGGCTGGTTAGGGTTGGATTTGGGTGGTTTGGCGATGGATTCGGGTCGGGGAGACGATAATGGGGGCTGGGCTGGTTTGGGTTGGGGTCTGGGTGGTTCGGCGACGGCGGGGAGACGATGATGGGGCTTGGGCTGGTTTGGGTTGGGGTCTGGGTGGTTCGGCGACGGCGGTGAGACGATGACGGGGGCTGGCTGGTTTGGGGTCTGGGTGGTTTGGCGACGTCTGGGAGACAGTGATAGGGGCTGGGTTGGGGTGCCGACCATGGTAGGGTTAAGTTAGGGGCTGGGTTGGGGTGCCGGCCATGGGCGCCGGTGGTGGTGGTGGCTGGGTTAGGATTATAGGGTTTTTCTTTTTTTTTGATTTTTTTATCCAATAGTTGATTGACACGTGTACTGTGTGGGACCCACTCAACGGTTTTTTTGAATGGCAAAGTTAAGTGGTGGTGAAAGCAAATTTTTGGCTTTTTTTGTGGTGTTATAATAATTTTTTTTTTTTTTTGTGGTGTTATTATCAAAATTGTGACAATTTTTAGGTGTTATTTTCTAATTTTTCCTAACTATTAGGGTAATCATTTTGGAGTTATTTCAGACAGCCTAATACAGTAAAGAACATATACCTCTTAAAAGTTGAAAAGTCCAAGTCTCTAACCTCATCTTCTCCTCCAGCCTCAACATCCTAAAATGTTAGTCATATTTGTCTGACACATGCATCTTTTTAGTAGTAAAATTTAGGATCATGAAACTTTCATGCTTTGGACCGTCAAGAGTGTCTAACCAACGGATCAGATAAAGTAAAAAGTATATATCTATAGTTTTAGAGCATAATATCTTTGCGTTTAATCTATAAGACGACCTTGCCTTTCCTCATTAATCCCAAATGTATAATTGTCTAATTATTTTAGGTGTTTACCATTCCATAGTTCAATTCATATGAGATTTTAGAAGCTGATTTAGTTAGTGCAAAGTTATGAAGCTGATGAAAGGTAGTATGTCTGATCAAAGATTCATAGCCATACCATATCCCTTAAGATTCAATTCCACTTAGAAACTTGTTGGGAATAAGGAGGCTCTTAATTTGCTTAAGAATGTAAATTCAACTTTAATATATTTAATCTTTGATCCGCAGTCGTGGGAAAACCAGGTATTGATGATGTATATCATATGTGATTCCATGAGATCGAGTAGAGTCTTTCTTAGGCTATGTGTCTTTCTGACGGTCCCTATCGACAAGAGTGTAATCTGTTTGGCTGGTACCATAATCTTAGTTTTCCTATTCTTCAACCCTTCTTTATATATCAACAAGAGGCAAATCTACACTTCTACTGTTTACTACAGCTCTAAATATGTGGTTGTTTCCTTTATTTTCTGGTAAACATTAGCTAATCTATACTTTATTTGATGTCTTCGTTGTGTTCATTTTCAGATTTATGCTGTAATTTGTCATCATGGTATTTGTTGATTTGACTGATCAATGTGTCAATTTGATCAATTCAGGCGTAATGATATTTGGTGCAGTATGCTTTTTCTGATAAATAGTCCCTTAATATATCAAATATTTATTAAAGCCTTGCATTATCCTTTTCTTTTTGTGTAGTTCATTGTATTTTATTTCACATTTATGGGTATATATTGCTTATTAGTTATTACATAATGAATCAAGGCAGGTTTGGTCAGAAATTGATTGTAAAGTGCCCCCCTCCCCTGCAGAACCTGAGTTCTGTCAGATTGAAAATTTGGCTTGCTGGTGTTTGAGATGCATTCCAAGATGATCATGAATAATTGATAATGTTGCAGGGATATGGAGCTTGTAACTTTAGGCAACTGATGGAGGAAGATCAAGAATCCAATGTCTTCAGTCCTGAAGCCATAATGCAAATTGATGATGTGATAAACCGATCCTTGGCAAGGCGTGCCCTTGATTTTTCCTCTGAAGAGGTTCAAGGACAGATGGAGAATGGAGTGGGTGGGTCATCTGTTATAGTACACAGGATGTCACTAAGATCTTCTGACGCTCTTCATGCTGTTAAAAACAATCTGAATGTGGGTGACACTCTGGTGAACAATGTCGAAGCAGCTGTTCCCACAACTATAGTACCAGCTGAAAATCAATTTTCACCAGGTAAAGTATGTATGTTTTGATTCATTCTGTGGACGTGGAAGCACCAGCTTTTTAATTTTGCTATGTTCGTTTGTTCTCAATTTCTGCTGCCAAATAGCCAAATCTTTCTATAAATACGTCTATGCTACTTCAATATTGGTCATCAAATACCATATCATGTCAAAGAGCCATGCCAATTTCGATTTCTGTGTCCTCGTGTCATTGTTTCAGCACTTGAACGTTTTCCGACTTTAATCCACTTGTGCCCGAAGACAAAACACCCTCAAAAGGCGGTTTTAAATCAGATGAGGTTCTCCCTAAACAGACATTGCTGATGAAAGATGGGCGCAATGAAGACCGTTTTGTGACAGATGCTGTCTTACAGGCCTCTGAGAAGTTATCGAAATTCTCTCTAAATGAACTCATCACACTGTTGGAGTCTGTGGGTTCCAAGAATCACAAGAATGGGATGATGGAATGTTACACTTTTGCTGGTCTGGATTGCTTGCAGCTTGATGATAATGGGCTCTTGCATCTGTTACTAACTGAATACATACCACAAGTAGCTGCTCTTTCTTGTATGGAGCAAGATATCCACTATGATATCTCCGTAAAACTTCTAAACCACGATAAGAATGGGGAATCTCGTTTTAAGGATATATTTCATGCATTTTGTGAGGCTGGGAAAGCCTATATGGCTTCTAATGAACGGTTGAATTCACTGCAGAAGAATTCTCCTAGTGTTGGAGGCATGTTGGATGTTTTGGAATATGAACTATGGTGTTGCGAGGTGGAGAATGATACTAAACGAGACAAGTTACTTCAGATAACAAAAACCATGTCACAGTGCATGCAAGGAGAGCTTGCAGGTTGCGTTTAGGAAAGCAAGGGTCTTGGTTTGTTAACTAATGTGTGCATTTGCAGTCTTCAACGCGAGTTGTGCCCTGGGGTTTTGCCTAAAATGAAGTAATCTACAATCCGTAAATAGTAGTCTATGTTCTATTAAGTATTAACCAAGTTTATGTGACGTCTACGTAACCAAATGTCCAAATATAATGATGTGCAAATATGCAATGTAAGTTATAAGTGCTATATGTATGTAACAAACTGAACTAATGGCAGCATGTAAACCATTAGATGCTACCACCTAACCTCTATGTATGGATGATGAAATGTAGGTGACTATTTCAAAACAAGTGTTAAGTGTATAACGTCATTATAATTATAACAAAACAAGGCAATATTATTAGCCTTTGTTTATATGGAACAGAAAATGACTAGGAATGTTGAGTAGTTATTACACCATCTATTTTACAAGGAGCCCTTTTCATAAATAAGCTGGCAAAACATCCAATTGCATATTAATAGTGTACTAGCATAGTGCCCGTGCGATACACGGTTTATAAATCAAATTATTACACCCGTAGGAAAAATAAAAATAAAAACCAAGGTAATCTAATATATATAAATAAAGTAGGCATTTTTGGAGAGCATTGGGAGCGCCACATAAGAAAAGGTATTATTTTAACCTATAAGAAATTAGATTTCTATTTTATTTTAGAATTAAAAAATTCACTCGCTACCTAGATAAAAGTGACGAATTAGATTTGATATATTTTCGATTTTAATGCCACGTATATTAAAATCAACAAATTAAATTATTTTCATGGAAAAAAAAGGTAAAAATTCAATTATATAGATAAATTACATGTACACCAAAAAGATAAATAAATAAAATAAAAACCCACAATTCAATCCCCAAAACCCAACCATGTCCATGCAAATTACATATGAATATCTAACTTATTAATGATAATAACAGCCACTAAATATAAATATTAATGATAATACACTTCGAATACATGAATGTTAGTACTTGATGGTTGTACATTCAAATAATGTTCAACATTAGGATTTGATGAACGTAACTATGGTTTTTTTTTTTTTTTTTATTGACAAGTATTTTTAATTTATTTTAATAATAACCCAATAAAATTAAATTTGTGTTTTTATTTTAGAATTAATAACTTTACTTGCCAAAAAAAAAAAAAACAATAATTTTCAAATTTTATCTTATCTAGCAACCCATATCATGATTAGATAATAAAAAAAAAAAAATTATAAGAGATTTATTTGCTATTCCACATATATATGTAGTATAAGATATGATGATATTAAAGATTTGTATACATCCTCTCAAAAATACAATTTTTTTTTTCTATTATAAATAGACACTATAAATATACTACACACGCACAACCAATCCACCATGAGCTTTAATTTATTAAAACTATATAATACAAAAACGCAAACATATGAATATTATTTATGTACTCTATTTCATGGTGTGATTTTTTTTTTTTTTTCAGGTCTAATTTGTTTATTAACAAATAATATTGGAAAAAAATGTAAGTATTTCAATGCTTTCTAATGGTTAACAAAATAAGTTGATCGTTAATTATTCATTATTTTCTAAGATGTATGTTCTGTTTATTCTACCTAATCTAATTGTGTTACTTATCATATTAAATTTGGTTAAACAAATTAATTATAATTTAATATTATTTATTCTGTATTTGAAGGGATTATGTCCATGCGCCAGTTGAAGGAAATTTTGTCAAGTACTTATAAATCCAAAAGAGGAATGTGTAGATTGGAAAAGTAAGTTTGCAACTATAGTCTTATAATAGAAGGGAAAAAATTTAAAAATTGTAAGAGATGTCTCTAATAATTTTGATTTGTGTATTATAGTTTCTGGTAGAACATATGTATTATTGTTGTAAAAATCATTATAGTAGTGTGGTAATGAAATTTCATTATAAAGATTTAATTTTATACAATTAGATTAATTTCAGTAATGCAACATTCTTGGTATGAACTTTTTATTTAACTATTTAAAAATTTATAAAGTCATATCTTTTTATTATTACTCTCACCATCTTTATTCGATCTTACCTTATAGTTTTGGATTTAGTTTATTAATTTTTCATTGTATAAAGTTGATATGGAGTAAAAGAATAATGGTGGTCTAAGTTATTGTTTGTGAAAGAATATAGTGATTTTATAAATATACATGTATACAACAACAATGTACTTTCGTTATACAAACGAATCATAGTTGAAAAAAAAGAGGATTTATGATTTAAATTATTTAAAAAAAAAAGCAAAATAATATCTTGACAAATTAAAAATTAAATTCGTATTTTATTTTAAAATTAAATGAATAGTAATTAATTAGGATTTAAATTATTAAAAAAACTAAAAGTTTTCTTTTTATTTAATTATCTTTAGATAAATACGAACAGTGATTTATAATTTAAATTATTTTTATTTAACATTAATATCTTATTCTAATATCCGATAGATTAAATAACATATAAAAAGGTATGATAAATGATAATAAAATATTACAATTTATTTTAATTCAGAATTAAAAAATCAATCACCACTTGAGAAAAATTAATGAATGAGATTTGAGAGTCAACCAATGAAAAAAAAATTCACAATTTAATTTTTAAATATAATTAATTTAAAAAAATTCACAATTTAATTTTTAAATATAATTAATTTCCCTATAAGAAATCTTCACGAATGAGATATGAGTGTTTAATTTGATGCGTCAATGTAAGAAAAATACCATTTTTTTTTTACAAGAAAAAAAATACCAATATTGATTTAGGATTAAAATTATATTTAAAAAAATATATCTTTTAATGTTAAAAGTTTTATCCGGAAAATTTGGTAATTGAACTTTGTAGGGGAGGGTCCATCATAATCAGTGATTTAGTATTTTTTTAAAAAAAAACTTATATTTAAACTTTTTTTTTCTTATATTATCCGAAAAATAAGATATTATATTTATAATTTTTTTATTAATTATAAATTTAATTTTCACATAATTAGCACCAACAAATAAGATTTTTATAAAATTATGTTAAATAATAAAAATTAACCTTTTCATGATCAGCACAATAATTTAATCAACATATTGTATGGTGTAATTACAAAAAAAAAAAATATCCTTACATGAGATTTACAGATAAACATCTAGTTCATTTACTACTAAAGGACTTGTACTAATGGTCGATAAAAAAAATTAAAGGAACGTTATTTGAATAGTATTTTATTTTATTTGAATTTCTTTTAATTTTTTATAATGTTATTTTATTAATTGAAAAATAATTGAATAATACTCCACATAGCTATATAAGAAGTGGACTAATTTGTTTATATCTCCCGTTGAGAAAAAACTAAAATTTTCTTATCATACCATCCGCATCAGTAGCTACAATCAATCTAATATATACACGTTTTATTTACCCATCGCACTCATTAAATCTATAGACACAATAATAACCTTATATTTGACCTATCAGAACATATATTTTCCTAAGTTAAGCATTGTGCCAAAAACTATATATTATATAATAGTCATATATATAACCAACAGTTGATTAAATATAGTATACGACACAAATACTTTGTATATAGGTATGGATACTGATAGTTTTATGTAAATAAAATATGCGGAGTATATATTACTAAGATTTATCCCTAACTTAATCATAAAAAGGTTAACAAAACTCTTATAATAGTGCATGGACATTTATATATCTAAAAATGTTCTTTTTACCTATATTTTTCCCCCATTTAATTTTAAATGCCTTAAAATTGTCTCTTGAATTCGCTAAATTGATTTGAAAGGTTATGTTTATTTCAATATTTAAAGCCATTTACTTTACTTTGTATATAGGTATGGATACTAATAGTTTTATATAAATAAAATATACGGAGTATATATTACTAAGATTTATCCCTAACTTAATTATAAAAAGGTTAACAAAACTCTTATAATAGTGCATGGACATTTATATATCTAAAAATGTTCTTTTTACATATATTTTCCACCATTTAATTTTAAATGCCTTAAAATTGTCTCTTGAATTCGCTAAATTGATTTACAAGGTTATGTTTATTTCAATATTTAAAGCCATTTACTATTTTCATTTCCTTTTGTTTTAATTTTTCTATTTAGAATTTATTAGACTATTAGGTTTCAAGATCGAAGTCAATATCTTTTTACCGTACAATCACTAAATCAAAGTCGCTCAACTAAAGTTTTGGACATTGCATAGCTACACAACATCCAACACATTTAATGATTACATGTAAATAATTTTAATAAAACTACGCATTCGATATAAGTTATTAAACAATTTAACTATATATACATTTTGATAGGTTTATATCTTTCATATTAACAAAAATTTACAAATGTTATTATCATATTTTGAAAAAAAAATTAGACTTTGGAGTTTTGTATAAGATAGATAAAGGATAAGTTAATTCCCGTCATATATGCATTGAGTTTTGGGTGTTCTATCCGGTTCACCCTTTGGGCTAATCCAGATTTGAGGATCAGTTCTAGGTTATTAGGTTCCACTCCCCTTCCGATTGTTGTTGCAGGGGAGCACACAGGTCCTCCCTACCAAGTGTAGTCTCAATCACCACTACACCAACAACCAATTGGTGTAGTGGTGATTGGGACTACACTTGATATGGAGGACAGGTGTTATAAAATATTATATTATATACATATACTTTTTTATATTATAAAAAATATTATATTATATACACATACTATTATAGTTAAAAAGTATTATTTTGTATAAAACAACATAAATTATTGCACATGATTGTTGTATATTTAGTATAGTACATGAGCAATGCACGATTTTTAAATCAAAATGTTAGTTTTTCTAAAAAAAAATCATAAGTAATAGCATTGTTAATACGAATATTACAATTTAAAACATGAGTAATAGTTATAATACATTTTATATCTATCCCTTTTCCGTCAAATGTCTAATTCAATTTAACTTTTATTCTTCTTGTTTAGATTGGTTATAATCAACACAAGTAACCTGTCGATTGCCATGAAAAACCAAACGAGCCTTGAGACGTTCCAACTTCGACTTGGTGTACTTGATTTTATATACCCAACCACTACCCATCGCCTGTTTTTCGGAAGGAAAATCCTCAACTGTCCATGTGCCATTACGCTCTAGAGCGTAAATCTCATCTTGTAAAGCCTTACGCAAAACCGACGTCTTTAACTGCCTCTTTGAATGAAGACGGTTCCTTTCCCTTAGTGATCGTTGCCAAAATCATCCGTGTCTCATAGAAAAATGATTGTATTCAACATGACAAGCTATAGGGAAAGGTTTACATGAGGAACGAGATTGAGGAGGGATGACAGTTGTAGGCGTGATTTTCAATTACATATTCCCTTTAAACATGCAATATGATGATCATAATATATAGTAGAATTAACATTAATATTAGAAGCAATTTAACAACAATATAATTAATCAAATCAAATATAAATAAACCTAATCATGATACTAGCAATATTAATAATAAGAGTAATTAAGTGAATTAATTACTCACTTTCCGCGTTTCCC